ACGGCTTCTAGCCGGGACTCCTGAATTGGCCTCTGTTGAAACCTGCTCTTTGGCGGTGCATCAAAACAGAGCAGAACATTGCTGGCAATGAAAAGCAAACTGTTTTGCTTTTCCTCATTGCATGACAAAATTCCTCCTCGTTATATAAACTGTTATTTTTTCGCACAGCCGTATGACAGCCTGTTGATATTTCCTCTTGTTCAACCTGATATGTATGTATCAATTACCGGAGTGGATGCTGAACAAATGCTGTCTGAAGGTGGAAAACTCACAGAGGGCGAATGTCCAGCAAAGTGGAAGCTCTCTGGAAAAAAAGGAGCTGGCCCCATGCAGCGTTCAACCTGCACCTTTTTGCGGCCTGGGTCTTTTCCCAAAGGGTTTGAGTGTTGCCTGCTGCAAATACAGTTTCAAGCTACCAATGTTTTTTTAGAGTGTGGTTTGACTTTGTAAAAGAAGTCATAACAATATATTTTGAGACCAAGTTTAGCTCAACTGAGTTTAAAGGGAAAACCATTAAAATAAAAAATAGGCATTTGAGAGAAATTGAAATTTCTCTTTGGAAAAAGGTAAACAATCCTTCTGGCTAGAAACCCAAACTTTTTTTTTTTTAATGCAGAGAAACTTGTTGTTCTCGCTCTCTCTTTCAGTGGCAGGGGGGAGCAGCCGGCAGCCTCTTGCGCCCTCTCCAGAGCGCGGGTGCGAGCACCACACGTCGCTGTAGCCCCCTGGGACGCAGAGCCGGTGATGCCCATCCCTGGCTTGCTCAGAAGGGATGTTTCCCTGGCCTAGAGGGTATGTTGGCCTTTGCACGCACCGAAACGCTCCTGCCCGTCTCCTCGATGATAGTGAGAATCGGAGGGGATGTGAACTGCGATCAACTATACTGTACGTAACCGCTGGGTGTCTCTCTACCATTGTCACCAGCACTAGAAAAATCTTAACATCTGGGAAAAATGTTCTTGCCATCGCAGACACTTATAACTGTTTGCTGGACAGACAGCTGCTCACTTGGCTTCTTTTTACTGCTTAAATATTCCTGCTTTTAAGAGTGAATTACTGCCTCAGGGGACCCAATTCAGGCCGGCTGTGAACAGGTTCATTTCCGGGGGCTTCGCGGCCCAGCCTGTTCTTGCACCGCGCCTGAATTTCACCCAAAGTGCAGTGAACACCAGGTGTGTGCTGTTAAGCTGTGTAAAGAGGAATAAAAGGAAAAGGGGAATGACAAATGAAATGGAAGGAAGTGGAGTTTCATTAGAAGAATTTGCTGTGTTAGGATTTCAGAGGGAAGTGCTGGTTATTGATTAAGTTGCCTGTTTTGTTAATTTTGGTGTCTGATCGTCACCAGTGATTTCTCTTGTGGAAGGGGGGAGTCGGTCCCTCGGCTCAGGATAACTAGTTTGGCATTAGCTTGTGGTTATAATGATACGTTCTGTTTTGCCCACCAATGCTGTAGGTGCAGAACTGAAATAAGGGGATTTTTGGAGATGGATGTGGATTGTAGACCAACAGCAGCACTAAGAGGAAAAACAAATGTGGAAGAAAACCTACACTAGTATGACAAGATGCAGGAATGGAAATACAGTTGCATAATCTAGGCATGCTGTTACCATGACTTCTGGACAGTGTTTTTTCTGTGCATGAAGTTACTGTGTGTATATGTAAAACTGTACATACAAGTTAAAGGGGTGTAGGTTTTTTGAGTGTGTGGGTTTTTTTTTTTTTGTTTCCAGTCTAGGCCTCAATGTTTGCAGGAAATTGATATTTTCCAGTTTTGCAAGATGCAAAACGTTGATAACCTTCTGCAGCCCTCCTCTCCCGTCCGTACTGATAGGAAACCAAGTTAGTGCAATAAAAGCATAAAAGCTCATTTGTAGCCCAGAGTTCAGCACGTGAGGCTCACCGCAAATAGATAAAGCCTGTCCGTGGCTGAGTACAAGCCCTGCATCCCCCAGCTGTCCCCCGGGTGCCATGCAGCACCTCTTTCTTTTGCACAAACGGAGCTTGTGCACAAAGTTACTCTGTAAGGAGATGCTGCAAACTGCTGTCAGGCCGAGTGTGATAAGACAGGAGTGCTGACCCCCAGCGCCAGCCCTGCTGAGGCTCCTGGAGCGCGATTGCCAGAATCGCTTGTTTTGCAGAGGACGGTGTCTGCCCTATGACTGCTATAAGTGTGCTGAGGTAGCCACCGGTGTGGTCTTAACCTGCCTAGTACAGCTGCCTGTGTATTGCATTAATTGTCTTAACTTTCCTGCCCAGTAACGGAGAGAAGGGACGGGGAGGAAGGCAGAGAGGGAAGCTGCGGCAGCCGCAGACACAGAAGCGCGGGTGGCAGAGACTGAGTTTACAAGGAAAAAAGAAACGGTTTGGGTTAAATCGTAATTCCCGGCTGAAGGCCTGGAAGGCCAGGTGAACCCGCACGCAGCCCCAGCACGATGCTCTCGGCTGAGAAACGCTGAGGCTGAGCGCAGCGTCGGCGCTGGGGAGCCGAGCGGGTGGGTGGGAGAGCTGAGCGGGGCGGCGGGGATGAGGCATGGCTCAGAGGGAAGGGAAGGCGCTCCCGCTCCCCTCTCCCTGCACGCTGGCGGAAACCTGCACCGTCGTAAGAGAAGGAACAGACCGCGGCCTTAGTGTCTCCTAGTGCTTTTGAAGTGCGTCGCTCTCTGCTTTGCTGTTTGGGAAGAGCCGTAACGATGATGCCATCAGCATTTAGCCCCCCACCCGGGGATGGATGTGGGGATTAACTGAGCTGTTATTTTTTGTGCAAAATTATAAATACGCCATTAGGGAGAGGGAAGAGCCCAGGGGAGAGGCAGTTCCCATCGGGAGCAGAGTCTG